CTCTAGGTGGTCACAAAGCACTGAGCTGATCTCCCTGTGCTATGCAGATGCTTCCTACTAGCTATCTGTTTTACATTTCTTAGTGTATATATGGACATACACTTCTGTACGTTATCAGAGGTCACCAGGAGATGCAGTCCTGGTAAAGGCGATTGACAAGGAGTGAATTGCACAAGACGCCTTTCGCTTTGGGCCCCATCCAGTCCTTGTGTCCTGTACTTGGTGAGAACAGCTGCTTCTCAATTTGACCCCAAATTCATTTCCTGAACACAATCCTGTGGACTGGTTCTTTCACTTGTCAAATGTAGACTTGTGATGGCCTCACTCCCCGCAATAAACTCAACATGAACTTCATCATCGCTTGTTTTCAGGTTCTTTTCCTGCAGTTGAGGATGAAGAGATGCCTTCTGAACAGAGTGTATCTGCAGAAGGAGTGTCACAGATGAGGACCCCCAGGGCAGGTTCATCTCCTGAGAGGGCCCAGCCGTGTAAGATGTGCATCCCTGTTTTGAGAGACATTTTGCACTTGGCTGAAGAGCAAGGAACAAATAGGGAGCAGAAAGCATACAGATGTGGGGCATGTGGGAAAGAGTTCTGTTTCAGTGCAAACCTTCAAGAGCACCAGAAGCAGCACATTAGAGAGAAACCCTTCAGCTGTGATATGGGGAGACCCGCATTTTTCAAAAGCTGCAGAATCCATGTAATGGAGAATCTCTCTACCTACATGGAGATTGGGAACAACTACGTGGCCAACATGGAACTTCAGCCACAGACCACTAATACCAGGAAGAAACTGAACAACAGTAAGGAGTGTGAAGCTGTTTTTCACAGTGGAAAAGGTCATCACAGCTGGGGAGAAGGCAAGAAAGCCTCCAGATACACAGAAATACTTATTCAGGATGAGAGAGTCCTCACTACTGAAGGGTTTTGTGAGTTCAGAGAATCCGGGAAAGCCTTCACCCAAAGAACTAACCTTATTCAGCATGAGCAAGTTCACACTGGAGAAAGGCCTTATGAATGCAGCCATTGTGGAAAATTTTTTAGCCAAAAATCCCATTTCCTTACACATCAGAGAGTTAACTGTGGAGGAACGCGCTATGACTGTAGTGAATGTGGGAAATCCTTTAGCCTAAGGAAGTACCTCAGAGCACATAGGAAAATCCACAGTGGAGAAAAGCCTTATGAATGCAAGGAATGTGCTAAATCTTTCATCCAAAAGTGGAACTTAATTGAACATCAGAAAGTTCACACTGGAGAAAAACCTTATCAATGCACCCAATGTGGAAAATATTTTGCCCGCAAATCCAATTTCCTTGCACATCAGAGAGTTCACACTGGAGAAAAGCCTTATGAGTGCAATGAATGTGGGAAATCTCTTACTACTAGCTCTGGCCTCTATTATCATCTGCGAGTTCACACTGGAGAAAGGCCTTATGAGTGCAGTGAATGTGGGAAATCTTTCACTACTTGGTCGATCCTTTGTAATCATCAGAGAATTCACAGTGGAGAAAGGCCTTTTGAGTGCAGTGAATGTGGGAGATTCTTTACCCGAAATGAAAAACTCAGTGCCCATATGAATGTTCACACTGGAGAAAAGCCTTATGAGTGCAATAAATGTGGGAAATCGTTTACGAGTAGGTCGAACCTTTGTAATCATTGGAGAGCTCACAGTGGAGTGAGGCCATTTGAGTGCAGTGAATGTGGGAAATTCTTTAGCCAAAAGGCATACCTCAATGCCCATAAGAAATTTCACACTGGAGAACAGGTTTATGAGTGCAACAAATGTGAGAAATCTTTAACTCCTAGGCTGAACCTCAAGTGTCATCAGAGAGTTCATACTAGAGAAAGGCCTTATGAGTGCAGTGAATGTGGGAAATCTTTTGTTGCTAGGAGTGGCCTCCAGTATCATCAGAGAGTTCACAATGGAGAAAGGCCTTATGAATGCAGTGAATGTGGGAAATCTTTTACTGCTAGGTCGAGCCTTTGTGACCATCAGAGAATTCACACTGGAGAAAGGCCTTATAAGTGCAGTGAATGTGGGAAATGTTTTACTGGTAGCTCTAGCCTTCTTCGTCATCAGAGAGTTCACAGTGGAGAAAGGCCATATGAATGCAGTGAATGTGGGCAGTCATTTACTAGTCGATCCTCTCTCTATGATCATCACAGAGTTCACACTGGAGAAAGGCCTTATAGGTGCACTGAATGTGGGAAAGCCTTTAAGAAAAGACAGCTCCTCCGCATCCATAGGAAAATCCACACTGGAGAAAAGCCTTTTCAGTGCAAGGAATGTGGTAAATCTTTCACCCAAAGGTGCCACTTGATTAAACATCACAGAGTTCATACTGAAGAAAGGGCTTTATGAATATCATGAACGTGGCCGGCAGTGACATTGAAGGAGTTCCAGGTGGTAAGAGAGTGAGAAGAACCCGTGCAGCTAATGGACCCTTTCT